GCTGAAGGCAAGGGAAAAGAGCTGATGTCTAGGGCAGGCAGTGTCCTGTTAAACCAATGAGGTCGAAATTGCACTTACCACTTCCACTCATACTCCTTTGATAACTAAGTCACATCTGAGAGACGGCTGCAAAGGAGTCTGGAAAACATAGTCACTTAGCGAGGTAGCCGCTCGCCCAGTTTGAACTGTGCAGGGGAGAATAGGAGGATGGGCTTTGATAGCCCGTTAGCAGCACCCACCACAGAATCGTTCAGAACGTCAGCAGAGTCCGTTTAATAAAGTAGCTATTGCTCTAGTAAAATCTTGGAGATGTGGGACACAGAACAGGACTATTTTTAATGCGGAGAGAATGAATAAGCACTTTGCAGCCTCCTTGGGCCTGACTGTGAGTTGGCATTTGGAGATATTATAGTTGCCTAAAGTAAGCTTGAAGGAGTAGACGGTAGCCAGACAAACTTGGAGGCGCTGTGAGGAATTACCTTGGGGCACAGTGGAGATGTTACACTGAGCCGGTGGTAGGACCAGCTTCCCAGAGCTGTCTGCGAGCGTATCAGTATCATAACAATCAGACATGCAGTTTTTGCAAACCAATTTGCACCTATATTTGCCTCTCTGACTGGAAAAGTCATAGGGGTATGGACGTTACCTTTGGGCTCTTCTCCATATAAAAATGTTTTAGCATTAATATTAGAAAAAAATCACTTTAAATTCATGTATCACACTTGAGAGATTTAGGACTCTTTTTCTTTCTGGTATGGTTATGTGGGTTTTGCTAGAGAAATTTAAAATATATAGCGAGGACCATTTGAAGTTTTGGAAATGCTTGATGCGGCAGGGATTCTGTAGTTATGTGATGATCTGGCGCCACCCAGCAGACCAATGGAACATTGACTTAGTGGCCACTTGCGAAGAACACAGGGTGGAGAGTGCAGCCCGCAGGCAGAAGGCTGTCCTAGCCGTGAACAGAGTGATGGAGTTTCCAGCTTCACAAACAGCAGCCTATCCTCCCCTTCTGGTGTCGGTAGGCAGACAGGCCATTCAGGAACTATTAGGAGAAGCCCAATCTCTTAAGTTAGATTATTATTGTTCAAATGCTAGGTCCTACATGCAGAATTAAATTTTTACCACCTTGCACAATTTCCATTCCTTGCCTTCGTTTCAGGAATAAAGTGAGGGTTTGGCTCTGGGTTGCCACCCTCAGAGTCCTTCCCATTCTCTTCTCCTTCATTCCTAGAGACCATGGTAGCAAACAGAGAGAGCTCACTGATCTGCAGTGAAATCTGAAATGTCAGATATTGCTCCGGATGTACCCTCTGTGCTCACATGGAGGATTATCCTAAGGAGAAACATGCTGTTGATATTGATGGGGCTGTAACATATTTTAGATTTTTGTAACATTTACATCTCTTCCACACACTCTTTCAGTCTCATGAGCTCCCCGGAAAGCGTCTCCATTGTATGAATTACCAAGAAACGTGTTAAAACTTTTCCACTGTTTTATTGTTGGGAAGAATATTAGTAGGCTTTTGCCAGAATTGCCTTAAAGTGTTTATCACATTCTTCTCTATAAATGCATGCCTTTCCTAGACCCTTCATACAGAAGTGCTGCTCATAAGAGCATGTTATTAAGGGCTCACGTGTCCTGAAATTTTGCTAAACGTTTGCAAATATCACAGATCTAAAATTAAACTTCCTTTCATGTGCTATCATAATTTTTTAGACCAAAAGAGAAGGGTTTGCAGTAAATACCAACCAGTAGTGATTATAAACACTCATTAAGTTTTTATGTAATTGATTTATACATATCCTCAATAAATTCATTGAATATAGAAAATATTTCTTAGCTAATACAACATACATACCACAATTTATGGTCTGTAATTTTCAAGTTCATAAAAATCCAGACAGTATTTTTCTGAAGGACTGGGGACTTTTATTTTCTATAGTAAAAATGTATTATTGACTATGTTATCCAGTCCTTCAGAGAATCTGATTCCTTTTTATGTTCGCTGTAGACTGACAATAGTATATCTGACATTTCAAGATAAAATAAATTTGCATTTCACAGTTATAATCAAGTTATCCCTTTTTGCTGTGATAAAATATTGAAGAGGGAAAAGAAAAGCTAGTAAGACATCCTGACACATCTACCCATTTCTGAAACATAAACAAAATGAAGAATTTGAGAGCCCACAAATCAATTTTCCATCGTGGTGATTCATTATCTGTTATCTTGCTTAACTGAACAGCTCTATGACTGAACAGGAATTAGAGCTCATTCATTTTTTGAGCCTTTTTGTAGCACATCCGTGAAACAAGGGGGCCAGGCTGAAATGGGCACACTGCCAACTATGTGGATTTTTCTCTTGAACATCAGGAGGCCACTGGCCCAAATATGCCTTGTTTCTCTTCTCCTCAGCCCCTCTGCTTGATTGTCCTTGTCTGCAATTTGCAATTTGCTGAGTTTAAACTCATTCTCATTTTACATGCAAACACAACCCCCTTTTTTTGCCAGTGAGTTTGAGTTTAGGCTTTAGAAAACCACATAAGATTTTCCCCCCAAATGCTGCTGATTCAGCAGGGCATTTTTCCTTTTGAAAGGCAAAGCCATTTCGAGTGAAAGTTCTCCTAAAGATGATTTGTTTTTTCTTAGCCTTGTAACTTTTGTCATCGTCTGCATTTCTCTCAGCATACTCTCAGCTCCCTCCTGCCTTTCCCTTTTATTTATTGTCCACTGTACTAACAATAGTTTTTTTGGAAGCAGGGAAATTTCTTACCTTCTGACTTCTTGCTGGTCAACACAACTCTCCACTTTGACATGTTACATTTGGGAATGAAATATTAATACATGAGATGAGGCACTGTTTCAAGGAAGATAAAGTAAGGAAATGACACAGCTGATCATTTTCTCATGACGTGGGAAAGAAAAAGTGTGTGTGTGTGTGTGCGTGCGCAGATGTTGGAATGGGACAAGGAGCAGTTTATTTATTTTCATGAGTCATTCATACAGTATATACGAGTTGATTTCTGTATCTTTGCAAACCTAGGGTAGTGCTCTTCCTCAGTCAAATAGAACTTAGCAAATCAATTGGTGGCTGAAGAAAAAAACCCTGAAAAATGCAAAGAAAACCCCAAAACAAAACAAAAAACCGGAACTGGGGAAGACAAATGAGATGTAGGAGAAGGCGTTTGTGGAAAGGAGCCAGATTTCTACCACCAAGAATCTCTTTGCTCAACTAATAGCTCATCAGTTCTGCAGGCAAGTAGCTGAGTTCTTCACGTTTATAAAAGAGATACTCAAGGATTTAATGATTAGGAAAGGAAAAATAAGATAAGCAGTGTCATGCTTACCATATGAGACTAGAGTTCATTGCCTTTCTCCCTGGTCTTTCCTCTCTGGTAACAATCAGATCTGACATGGTGGTGATATTTTATTCCAGTCCTGAGAAAAGCAGAGACAAACGATGATACTTGAAATTCCCTGACCTCATTTTGCAATATCTCAGTTCTTCATCACCCTTTGCTCTTAGGAAGAGAAGGGCAAAAAAAATTGCTAATGTAACTTTTTCCAATTAAAGTGTTCATTAACAGAACCTTCAAGATTTTAGTGTATCATCGTCATTGTGTTTATTTCAAAAGGACTTTGTCATTTGCACACTCTCAGTCATAAATCATAAATATTTATAACATGCCCAGGCATTCATGACTAGTTTCGACAAGACAAAGTAAAACAAATGAGCTACTACTTAAAAATAGGTCAAATCTGGGTATAAAAATACGACAAAAATCTCTAAGTTCCTCAATCTCAATTTTACCTACTTTATTTGAAATTGTGTATAAGTCCATTTGGATACCTCTTTGATATAAGCATAAATATATATTATATATCATATTTTTTGCTATGCAAATAAAATACTTTTCAAATGTGACTGAATTAAAATTTTCACGGAACTTCCTAATGGCATATTTCTTCAAATTTTGGTTCATGGATTGTCTGCATCAGAATTATTTAGATCAGAGCTTCTTAAACTGTGTGTGATCAAGGTCCTTTTCCCCATTAATCTGTGGAGGACTGAAATATTTGTTCTACGCCCTGCACAATGAAACAAGTCTGCTAACTGTGTCGCTTGGGTATTGTAGCACTATCTGCTGCTTCAGGAAGTTTCTAATCCCTTATTCTCATTATCTGTGCTTCTTTCTTCCAGGCCTGGTAACAAACAGTTTGCAAATTCACACTGGTCCTCAGAGCACACTTTGTGTAGCACTAAATTAGCAGGCTTGTGAAAGTCCGAACATCCCTAAGATAAGTCTTAGGGATGAGTATTTTTGATAAGTCCCCAGGTGATATTAATGCACTCTAAAATTTAACTGTTGCTTTCAGATAAACCTAAATATTGTCGTTGCTCTAACTCACAAGTCCGTGGACCCTAAGAGCAGTTATAACACCTCACAGAGCCAAAGGATTTGTTAGAGGGAATTAGCTCTGCAGCCAAGCACACGGTCTTTCCGCCACAGATGCTGTCACTCTCTGCTGGTCACAGTCCAGGCACTGCATTTATCTTTTGTCATCTGAAGACCCTTATTCTCTCTGCCCATTAGACACATTTGGTCTTTTTCTTTTTCCTTGGCTTTCAAAGCATTGCATCAGTTAATTCTTCTCTTCCACTTCTGCAATTTTTTACTTATTTTTCCCCACTAATTCTGGAGATTCAGCCTTATCTCTGTTGTATATTTTGATACATTTATCATTTTAAAAACTCTCTTCTTTCTCTCACCTCTGTCTCTGCCAATGCTATGTGTCTGCTGCCTCATGCCTTGAAAGTGGCCACACAGGTTACATGCTGTACAATTCCGTTACATGCCTTCAGGTGCAATTCAGAGTAAATGTGGTCCCGGGGTTTTGTAGGCTATAGTAGTACTGATTCTTTCAGTCACCTTGGCCTCCAAGCATGCGCACAGACTTTGTTTCCATCATCATTCATTCATTCATTCAACAACAGAACCCAGTTGGGAACAGCTGACGCAGGGCCAGAGAAATGCACCTGGAGCAGTTAATTCTACTGCAGGACAACGTAACGTGGAGAGCAAAAATGGACCCAAGGGCAAACTGGCCCAGGGTCAGCACACCAGCTTAGATGTACTCAGGAACTGGATTTTTGCATGGACTAAGCTGGGCTCTACGAAGGAGAAATTTTGCCAGAAGAACAAGGAATTCTGAAATCATGCCATGGCAACTATCTTCCTTCTCAAGAGATCCCAGAGGAAGATATGAAGGAGGCAAAACACAACAAAGAAATACCAATTTTAATTGCGTTTTGGACTCAAGCCTTAAAGGAGAACTCCAGTAAGCAAGGGCGACCCAAGCGGTAAGGCTCCTCATGTATCAGGTAAGCCAAGCCCTCAAACCAAAGCAGGCCACGTGGCTTTCTCTCTTAATTCCATATTTTGGGTTAGCCCCTCCAGACTGGTAACTAATATGTGGGCGGAAAGCCCAAATGGGCCAGAAGGAAAGAGAGAGAGAAAAAAAGAAAAGAAAGTGCATGCCCTGAGATGGTAAAGTTGGCTCAAGCTGCCTCCTGGGTGAGCCTCGGGCCAGGCCGGTACATCTAGACTTAACACTCACGTGGGGAAGGCGAGCTGAGAAGGACGGCGGGGTCATGGTAGGGGAGCAGCAGGCCCTGGCGCGCTCCCCAGCCCAGCCTGCACTGAGTGGAGGGGAGGGGAGGGGAGAAGGTGGGATCACGCACAGCAAGGTGCTGACCTTTCAGCCATTTCAAGACCTCTTGAAACATGACCGAAGTCACTAGTCTATACTCTGGAGTTGGGAAAGGAGGTGCAGCTCTCTCTCTGACCCAGAGCAAAGGGGCCCCAGAGGAAAATGAGGCATGCTGCCTGCTCTGAGGAAGCTCAAGGTCACAGGGGAATGGGGGAAACCAACATGTAATTTTCCTCTCCCTTTCTGTGCTATCTGGCATGAGTGTGGTGTGTGCTCTAAAAATGCCACTCATAGGCTAGTTGATGTCATCAAAATAAGAAAGTAAAAACCTTACTATTTTTCAGTATTTATTACTGTGGAAGTACATGGATAAGTCATCTTGGAACTGGAGATGCTTTTACTTTTTAGATATATCTTGGCCAACATTACTTTGAACAGAGGGGTCCACCGCATAGCATCAGTGCATATCATTACAAAATTCACCAATAATATTGCTTGCTGCTTTTTCATGGACACAATCTTGTCTTCCCAACTTTTTATTGACTGAAATGCCAATAATAGAATATAGTACCCTTTGAAATGTTAAAGGGGATTGTCTCAGTGAGACTTAACATTATATAGACATTTAGGAAAACGTAGCTTAGGAAAAGTTTCCTGGTTTTTTTTTTCCCCTGATCATATCAATATCCTTGCATTTATTACAGAATGCAGATTCTCAGGCCTCTTGGACATTCTGATTCAATAGATCTGATGTAGGGCCAGGAAACTGGAGTTTTTAACAAATACCCCAAGAGAGTCTTATGATCAAGAAACACACCTGTAAGGTGTCTCTCACTCTAATATTCTGTAATTCTGCAGTAGTTACCTGGACCACAAGGAACATATCTTTACTGGCCATATTGGAGCTAACATTGTACTGAGAACAGAAAGGGTGTTCAGTATGGATTTAACTGCTCATTGATGCATTCTGATGGAGCCCCAGCTTTCACTTGATATGGACATTTCACAGCCAGTGGTATTTTGGACAGTGACTTGGAAATGAGACTGTATCATTAGAAACAAGGTTATTGTGATTTTCAAAACATTTCACAGTTTACAAAGTATTTTTATTATGTGTTCTCTTAAGAACTTCATCAAAACCTGATAAAGTTATCAAAGCAAAAACTATTATTGATATTTTACAAATGTGAAACTCATGGATGTGAAGAACTGGCTCTTTTTTTTTTACTTAGCTACTAGGTATGGAATTAAGATTAAAATTCAGATTTCTGTATTCTTTGCTTTATGATCTTTTCACGGTGCAAGGATTTTTTTTTTAACACTAGCAATCCTGCCTGTATTTATTGTACATCCAGCAAAAGAAAATTCATGACTTTATTCCTGCATGAAAAGACCAGTATTGTGGGTGAAACCAGCTAGAACCAAACTTGATAACTACATATACAAAATGTGAGAACAAAAGTGGAATATTCAAGAACATCATCTTCTCCTCAGAAAGAATTTTAGCAGTTCCTAATGAGCCAAAGACAATCTAGAATAATCTCTCAATCCCCATATCTCATCATTTTCCCACCACAGTCTTGGCCTTCATTCTCCTAAATGGCATAGTAACTGGTGCATTTTTGAGAGGGCTGGGAAATGAACTGTAGGGAGTAAGAAAATTCTAGGTCTTCCTTCACAGGATGAATGAATTGGAATAATTGGAATAAGAGGGGAAATTGAGCCAGAGGCTAGTTTAATATACCCCTATTTCCTCCCATGGCTCAAGACTGAGGACTAACTGATGGCGAGGTCCCCACCTTCTCTGTCCTTCCCTCAGGGTGATGCCTTCACATATGATCCTTGGACCGTTGCAGGTGCTTGTAAAATTCTTGAGGACCACCTCATAGCAACTAAGTCAGAATTTCCAGGATTGGGTCCTTCGTATTTATGTACAGACCTTTTCTGAGGACTTAGTTCCCCAAGAATACGTCAGACTTTTGGCAACTGTCTGAAGCACCTGTTAGAATGGATGGATGTTAATGAAGACTTGCTTACTTGGGGTGTGCAGCGTTTTGTCGCAAGACCTGGAATGTCAGGTGTTTACTTCTCTTTTTGCTGGCAGAAAAAAACATGAGTCTGAGAGGTGAAAAGATAGAGCAGCATTTTTGTTTTCTACCAAACATTATTTCTTATTTAATCTCATTAATCTGCATATTTTTTGGAAAACAAGCAACTATATCCTTTGACAGGATTATTAAATTCTAAATTGCATGTCATTTGCATTTGCCACAATCCGACAAGAGAATAATGCCTAAACCAATAATACCTGAACAATTGCCAGAGGGAATAAAATACTTTTTAAGTCTTCAGATAGCAAATACTGCTTAGCCATAGCTACACAGAGACTGGAGAAAAACTTACAAAGTTGAGGAGCAGTTTGAAATGTTAAGTTATAGTACAACTCCACCCGATGGATTTCTGTTGAATTTCACTTGAGCTGAGAAACACTATTTATATTAGATGCCAAATGAATTTGTATTTGATCACAATTATGTGAAAATTAAATGATTAGTGACATGGACAGAGAAAGAAAGGGCATGGAGAAAATACATCCAGATATATACAGCTTTTGGTAAGTGTGAAGAATTTGGAGTGAATATATTTTCTATTTTTAAAATATTTTCTACATTTTCAGTTGTCTATGCCTGTGTATCTATATGTGAACTTAATAATGAAAACGGTCAGTAAAATTAATTAAAAGAAGCATTTTCAAAGTGCTGATGGGCTGTTTTGGGGGACCTGCCGTCTACACGATAAACAGGTTATACTACTTAGCTCTTATATCATGTTTTTAATTGGTAGTGACTTGCAACCCAATAGTTCAATAAAAACAGAAGTGAGATAATTGCATTTTACTTCCACCTTTTCCATTAATTCGGTGTGCTCTTATAGGCACATAATTTAGTATCTCTACTTTGGTTTCCTCTTCAGTGAAATGAGGACAACCACATTAGCTTTTTTTTTTTTTTTAACTTTAGCATCAAGAATTAATTGAGGCAATGACTAGAAAGAATTGCAAGCATATGAAGAAAATGTTCATTAATATTCTGCAAGATGGTATCTTTTGGAGCAGTTTAGAAATACTAGCAACCTAATACTTTTTGAAAACTAAACCTAAATAAATAATGCTAAAAAATAAGCAAGATTTTGATACAATCAATAGAAATGAGTAATATAATTGGCAGTAGAGACTTGTTTAGTTGAGCATAAGAAATAATTGGATATACTTCACTAATCAGTTAAGGTAAGACTTAAGCTGCTAAAAATAAATTAAAATATAATGGTTTAAATAAGATAGAAGTTAATTTTTCCTTTTCTGTAAGAGTCTGTTAGGAAATGGGTATCCGGACTGGAGACTCATTCATAGTAGTTTACTGTGTTACCAGGTTGAAAAGGGGTAAAAGGACTTTTGTTTTGTTTTGTTTTAGACTAGCTAGCACTCTGCTAGGTATAGTTATATTTAGCTTGGCTCTGAAAGCAGTTTGTGAAATCACTGCATCATCAGATAGAAACTATATCTTACACTTACTCCCTAGCAGATCTTATCTTATCCAATGCTTTAAATTTCATCCATATGTTGATGATTCCCAAATGTATAGTTCCAGCTTTGATCACTGCTAGAAATATACCAGAGTGTCATGGTGAACAGTCTTCTTCTTCATCCACTTGAATGTCAAATCAGGTAATGGCACCAATATCCATCCAAAATCTAGAAGCCAGACTAGATTTTTCCACTTCACATGAAGACAATACTTGGCATTTCTGTCTTGACTTTCTTCCATTTGTAATAGAAACCCTGAGTTTTAGATAGGTACCTGGTTTCCCAGCTACAGACTATCCAGCTTCCCTTGCAGTCAGGTGTGGTCACATGACCAAGCCCTGGTTAATGGGATGTAGACTGAAGTCATACAAGAAATTTCCAGGTTGTGTCCACAAAAGAAGCAGTGGTGAATGGAACCCTCATACTTGCATGTAAATGTATATAGCAACTGTGTTTGTGAGAGACAAAAACTACACACAATCAAAAGTCCATTAAAAAGTGAATGTATAAACAAATTGTGGTTTATCTGGTCAATGAAATAATTCTCAGTAACAAAAGGGAACAAACCGCTGATACACACATCAATATGGAAAAATTTCAAAAATATGCTGAGTGAAAGAAGCGTCACATAGAAGAGTACAAACTGCATGTTTACATTTATAATTAATTCAAGAATAAGAAAAATTATTCTATAGTGGGAGAAAGCAGATCAGTGGTTGGGGGTATTAACTGCAAAAAGGCAAGTAGGAACTTTTACGGGATGATACATATTTTCTTTATCTCAATTTTAGTGGTTGTTACGTATATACATTTGTCAAAACTCATTGGCTGTAAACTTAAAATGTGTCTAATTTATTGTATGTACATTATATATATCTCAATAAAGTTGTGTTAAAGAGATGACATTATTTACAGTACAGACCAAATGGTAACAGTTAAAAATCAATCATGTTGATGACAAGCACTGCGCAGAAATAGAAATACAAACAGCTACTAGAAAATGTTTAAACTCACTACGAAGTAAATGCGAATTTAAGATATGATTTTCACGTATCAATTATTAAAAAAGCAAACAAAGAGAACATTCCAGTTTCTGGTCTGGCAAGAAGCTTAGAAGTCACCATTCAGTCCTAACAACAAGTAAAAAGCTGAGCTGAAAAATCAACAATGCTTCTTAATTCTCAAGAGAAGTGAGGTCACAGGGAAACCACTGTCCCCAAATTATAGAGACCTATAGACAAATGCAGAGAGTCAGAACTTTCTGGAACAGAAACTTCCTGGGTAACAAGTGCCACGGTTGGGAAACCTGAACCATAACTGAAGAATTGCTGGAAGGGCAGTGTAGACAACTCAGAAAGCTAGAAACTCCAGGGCGACCGAGTCATTGGACCACACTTACTTGTGAGTTTTGCCTCCTGAAATTCTATCAGCTTCTTACAGTGAATACTGGAGGGAAATCCCCCATGCTTTTGGAAAAGGAAGTGAAAAAGTTTTTTTTTTTAAATTTTTTAAACTATACCAGAGCTCTCTGTTCTTCTTAAGAAGATCTACCCTTAGGAAAAATTATTTAATCAGAGTCTAACCTTCCAGGGGTTTATCAGAGCCTAACTGACCTGGGGGAAGAGAGATACCCAACTCCAGCTGGCTTCAGTCTCTCTGTCCCACCTGGAGGGGAGGTGGAACAACTGAGAGGCATATGTGAAGTTCACAGTCCAGAGGAAGGGCTCACTAAAGGACTGAGACCCAGTCATGGTACCTGAGTACTTCCCCTGCTCCCACACCTTGCACCACATTACTAAAGACCTACTTACAGCAGTTCCTTTTACCCAGTACATCATTTCCAGCTATCAAGGAAAACATTACTAGACATACTAAAAGGCAAAAAATCATAGTTCAAAGGGATAAAGCAAGCATCAGAATATGGCAGGGGTGTTGGAATTATCAGGTTGGGGATTTAAAACATGATTAATATGCTAAGGGATTTAATGGATAAAGTAGACATCATGCAAAAACAGGCAATAAGTAGAGGGAAAGACATTCTAAGAAAGAACCAAGAAAATGCTAGAAATCAAAACACTGTGACAGAAATGAAGGATACCTTTGGTGAGCTTATTGGCTGACTGAGGAAGAAATCTCTGAGAAAGAAGATATCTCAATAAGAACCTCCAAAACTGAAAAACAAATGGATGAAAGCCTGAAAAAAAAACCAGAACAGAATATCCTAGTGCTCTGGGACAACTACAGAAGGTGTAACATATGTGTGCTGGGAATACCAAAGGAGAAGAAAGAGAGAACAGAAGAGAGGAAATATTTGAAACAATAATGTCTGAGAATTTGCCCAAATAAATGTCAGACACCAAACTACAGATCTAGGAAGTTCAGAGAAGACTAAATGGAACAAATGCCAAAAACTATACCTAGGCATATCATTCTCAAATTGTAGAAAAATCAAAGATAAAAAAACTTAAAGGAAGCCAGAGAGAGAAGCACCTTACATAGAGATGAGCAAAGATTGATTTCTGCTTAGAAACCATGTAAGCTGGAAGAGAGTGGAGCGAAATATTTCGTGTTGAGAAAAAAAAAAATCCCACAAAACTGGAATTCTGTACCTTCAAGAGTTAATGTAGAATTATCCCTCAGGAGGAAGGAGAAATTAAGAATATTTCAGACAAACAAAATTTGAGTTTCTAAAGTAGACTTGCCTTTAAAGAAATGCTTAAAAAAATTCTTTAGAGAGAAGGAAAACAATATAGGTCACAAACAGATCTACACAAAGAAAGAGCGCTGGAGAAGGAATAAGTGAAGATAAAAGAAAAACTTTTATGTTTCTTATTCTCAATTGATCTAACATATTTTTCGATTAAAAAATCAATTGTTCAAAATGGTAATAGTAACGATGTATTCAATTTTGTATATGTAGGTACGTATATTATATATATGAAGTGATGTAATGGAGGTGAGGGAGGAATTAGGATTATTTTGTTATTATAAGGTACTCACACTGTCTGTGAAGCTATGTTATTTGAAAGTGGACTTGGATTAGTTGTAAACGTGTATTATAAGCACGAGGACAATCACTCAAAAACATTTTTAAGAAGGTTAACCAACATACTAAGAGAAGAGGGAAAATGAAATATAAAGTGCTCAGTTAGAACCACAAAGAGCAGAAAACAGAGTGGAAGACAAAAATAAGAACAGAACAAGAGCAACAAGAAGAAAAAAGTAATAAATGTTATAGATATTAACTATCAATTATTACTTTGAATACCAACGGTCTAAATATACTAATTAAAAGACAGAGTGTCAGAGTGGATCAAAAAACAAAATCCAACTATATGTTGTTTAAAAGAAAG